AAACCCCCTCTTGTCCATTTTCCCACCAAAGACAGGATTCTATTACCTGCAGCTGAGGCTCCGGCTGCCGCTCGTGCTTTAGGGGCGGCTTTAGCTTTTGGTGGCATGGTCTCTGCGGCTACACACCACACACTGCTAAGAGCTAGACTGCTGAAAGCTGCGTGAAAAAGAAGCAACGCCCAACACAAAACTCGAAGCCAAGTGAGAATTGTGACTAGAGGCGTCCTACTTCCCCCGGGCCCCCTGCTGTGCAACGTTGTTCAAAATGGTTAGGTGTCCAGGTTGTATCTCAGCCCATGACAAAACAAAGGACCAACCCTCAGTGCTTCACTTCGGAAAACCAACATTGCCACTTTGGGGTGTTAGAGGGGAACCTGAAGACAAACCTTGACCTAGCCATTCAATATAGTCAACCTTTGCATTCAATGGAACCGGGGAAACGTGAAACAAACATCCTGTACCTCTGAGCTTCCGACGCCTGACCCAAACAAACACTTCGTACAGCAATGTCGCGAAGAATGAATCTACTGCAGCCTTACCAAGCTGACATGTGCGCCCATGAACGTGAAGCTTCCCTGAAACACACATCTGACCTCGAGACATGAAGGGCTGCCCCTCCGAGCTGTGGACCTGGCGAGATGGCGGTTGAGCACAAAATATACGTATATATCATGAAGCTGAACACTGCTACAATGCGAATCGTTGTGCTGTGTTGGCATTTCGCGGTGCACTAAACCGTTTGACACCACACATCACGCAGGCAAAAGCGCGCAGTGTCTAGAAATACGCTTCCCCCTTCACTTGCTAGCTAGAATACTTAGCCATAACCCACCAAACTCTTCGCACAGCAAGAACACGAAGAATGAGACTACTGCAGCCTAAGCAAGCTGGCATGTGCACCGATGAACCTGAAGCCTGAAGCTTCTCTGAAACACACATCTGAGCTCGAGACATGAAGGGCTGCCCCTCCCAGCTGTGGACCTGGCGAGATGGCGGGTGAGCACAAAAGTGCCTACGTATCATACAGTTAAGTGAGTGGTTTGCAGTCTGCACTGCTACAATGCGAATCGTTGTGCATTTTGCGGCGCTTAAACATCATGCAGGCGACTTATCTTTTCCCTTTGGGCTTTCAAGTTTCTAAGTCAAGCGGTCCTTGACTTTGCGGGCTTGCAAGGGCTTCAATCCGAGCTCAGAGATCAAATCTGCTTCGGACAAAGATGCCAGCATGCGGCCATCCACCCCATTCTCCCGAAAGGCTTCAATCACATGCCCCAACTCCAGATGTATGATGTACCTGCAGACGTCATCAACAGTCCAGGCCAAACACAACATTCTCTTGGGCTCAGGTGTCTCACCCGACGATGTAGCCTCCCTTTTCGCAGGCTCAGAGCGGTGGCTCCTTGCTTGCCCTAGCTCCAACACGAAATTTGCAAAACAGGACTTGCAACCTTTAGCCACCTGGCTGGGAATGTTGACTTTGTGCTTGAATTCAAACACTTTCAGCCGCTTCACCATCATGTCGACATCGCCCTGCTTCAGCTTCCCTTTCAAGGCATGCAAATCTGCTTGCAAGGTGGTAATGAAAATAGGGTCGTCTTTCGTGTAACGCAAGTGGCCGGAAAACAAATTCTGCGGCCTTGCGATGACAAAGCCAGCGCCTTCAAACCACAATAGCTGCACCGCCCAGGAGACGATGTCCTCATTAAACCTCCAGTCATCGAGCCAAACCACTCTGGCCTTTTCCAAGCCAAGCAAAGGGAAGGCACTCTTTGGAGGGGTCACGAAAACATTGTCTTCACCAAAGACCAAGGGCAAGGGGCGAAACAAAAAGCTTTTGCCTTCATTACCTTCAAACCCTGCGTGGCACACAAGGTTGCCTTTCGAACGTCCTGCTAAAAGCGAATCCGTCACCGCCTTGCACCACTGGACTGGATTGTGCCCATTTTGGCAAAGGATGTCTCGAGCAAAGTCGGCCCATTGTCCGCCACAAGTGCACTCAGCACTGCAAGCTCCTGCCAAGATGTCCATGCGGCTCTGCGCAGCTGCTGCAACCAAGTCCTCAACCTTCTCAGTCTTCCATGACTTGGCAACAATGGCAGGAAGCTTGTCCCAGTTGGCAAAACAAAACTCAACCAACGCTCGGCCACCACTGCGCTTGGCATACGACATCAACTTTTCTCCGCACACTTCATCTGGCAGGATGTTTTCCCGGATAATGATGGGCCACAAATCCACTTCCCGGACACGCTGCTCTCCCTTGCCTTTGGCTGCACGTTTGCGCCTTTGCTCCTCACGATGCACTTCCAAATTCTTGGCGCTCACATACCCTCTACTGGCCTCAGACAAAGGTGGGTGAGTGGAAGGCCACAACTCAGGTGCGGGATCCAATTCTTCCACGGCTTTTGTGGGCGAAGGCAAGTAGCAGTAGGCAATGCAGCCAGCATACCCGTCTGTTTTTCCAGACCAATGACTGGCTAGGCCATGCGCAGCCAGCAGTTGGCGCTTCAAGGCCACGAAGCGGAAAGACTTGTCGGCTAACACTGCCACATGGTAATGAACTTCACCTGATGCGTGGCGCTCCTGAAAGACTGCCATGTGTGTGAAGGTCAGAGGCAGCTCTCTGCTTGATTGGGTGGAAGCAAGAGCTCCTAAGAAAAAGTCTTTGACTTGCGCACGGGTGTAAGTCCCAGGAGCCACCAACTTTTGTCCATCTGAATTCTCTTCCTTGTCTGTGTGAGACAACGTCACTAGGTAAGCTCTCCTCGGCTTGTTGCACTCAGCACCAAGCTCTTCACTACAGCTGGACGGTTGGCTTGCTTTCTTAGCTTCAAGAGATTCCACCACTTCTTTCAGCAAGGCGCTGAACTCATCCTTTCGAGCCTCCAGCCCATCAGGCTCCATCCCGCAAGCAACTGCAACCTTGGCTCTACACTCTTTGATGCTACACTGGTGCAAGTCAAGGTCCCTCACAAGTCGCCCTGCTACCTCCTTCAGTGTGTCTGCATCTGGCACATCTTGCGTCACTTCTGGCAACGCCGCAGCAGGCTCCACAGGATCCATGCTTTCCAAGCTAACTGTAAGACTGTAAGGCAACTGACTTCTACAAACCCAAAGCTTCAACAAGAATCTTCTAGCAATTTACGTTGGTTTGAGCCAGGCAAAGGAAACGAAAACACAACACTTCGAAGTCCACCTAAAATACTTCAAACAGAAGCGTGATGCTACCACGACGTGAATCCAGCAGCGGCAACCGCGCCTTGTAGATAAGCCTTCTCATGTCAAGCGGGCCCACACCTAAGCCACCCACCGTGATCATATATGTCAGCAACACTGTCAAAGAACTCGTGTAGAACAGTGAAACATGGGCACAAGGGAAGGTTCCAATCCACTGCCAATGTAGAAACACACATACAGAATTTGTTCAACGACACGTCGTGTGAAACATTGAAAACTGAAAACTAGATACAAAGTACAAAGACGTCTGCTTGTCTTTGGAAAAGGTCTTCAACGGAAGGCAAAGCTGAGTGCGGCGTATGTGTTAGGAAACGATGCTCCAGAGAATGCAAAGCCACGGCCAGGCGTACTAACTGCGCAATCTGAGCTGAGGTCGGAACAAGCCCACTCAATTGTGTCAAATTGTTTCAGCGTTTGCAGCAAGACTGTTACAAAACTCGTGTAGAACAGTGAAACATGAGCACCAGGGAAGTTTCTAGAATCCATTGCCATTGTAGAAACACACATACAGAAATTTGTTCAACCACACGACCGTGTGAAAAATTTGGTGAAAACTAGATACAAAGTACAAAGATGTCTGCTCGTCTTTGGAAACAAGCTTCAACCGAAGGCAAAGCTGGGAATGCACACTGCACAATCGGATCTGAGGTCCAGACAAACCCGTTTCGACACCTGCACCAAGGGACGTGTTAAAATTAGTAATCCAAAGCTGTTCAATGTCAGTGTTCGTCTTACCTCCTCTGTGCTCTAGGTATAGAGCAACAATACCAAGAAGATTGTAACGAAGCAGTGCGGCATTATGTGTTAGGAAACAGAGCTCAAGAGAATGTAAAACCACAGCCACAGCCAGGCCTATGAGCTGAGGTCGATGTGTAAAATTGTTTCAGCGTTTCAAATCAAATCCTCTGCGCCCTGAGCCGAAGCAGCTTGTAAAGAAGCAGCGCGTTTCGTTGGCATCGTGCTTCCACATAATGCAAAATGACCGGATGCCAATTTTACAATCACATGAAGCCATCGTCAAATATCAGGCGCTTTTGATAGCCATTTTCTCAGCAGGTATGCCTCGCCCCAGCAGCATGCCAAAACCTCAGCGCCAAGCTATTGACAGCTACTGTTCTGCAGCTTCTTGCGCTTCCCTGCGTTGTGTGGCCCCCAATGCAACTGACAGTGAAACACACAGTGAAACACGCAGTGAAACACACCACGAAACGCTGTAATTTACGACGTTTCGTACCCGCAGGAAGAAAAAGTGGGAAGTCTTTTGAATGCGGCAGCCCTACCTAGCTTGCTAAACGCAAAAAACTGTGTCAATTACCGTGTTTCGTGCTGTGTTTCACTGTGTGTTTCACTGTGCGTTTCACTGCGTTTCACAACGTTTCACAGCGTTTCACAATTTTGACAGCGTTTCGGCGTATTTGCACGATGTTTCACTGGGAATGCAAAAAGACTATATCCTTGGCCCTTTGAGTCGCAAGTCTGTCCATTTACTCGGACCCGAATGGCCACAGAATTGAAGCAATCAGAATGATGGAGCCGCTACCTAAATCGCCTGCGAGCCTGTTCAGGTTTGCTCACAGCCCTTTGGCAAGGCCCCGTCTCTCAGAATTGCCAGTCACTCATCCTTCCCAGCCATAAAAGCAAGACAGAATGAAAGCGGATTCTACATGAAGAATAACTTGGAATACGCAATCACAACCGCCTTGCCTGCACCTACACCTTCTTGCGCAGCGGCCGGCGCAGCGGCCGCGGCAGCAGCGGCGTCTCTGTCAGCTTTCTCCTTCGCTTCGACCAAGCGCTTCAAATCTGCTGTGGAGAGCTGCTTGGCGGCCTGCTTCAACATAAAAAGGCATTACACAAGCAGGCGTCGCGCAATGCACCTTGACTAGACGGCTTTCGCGTCTCTTTGCAGACTGGCGGTCCATCTTGTTTTTCTTCATAGCCTGACACAAACAGAACCTACGGTCTGGAATGAAAAATCCAAAAAGCCGAATAATCTCACCTCGCGCAAGCTCTTCTTCTGGTCCTTCAAGTTCTTCAGCTCCTCTGCAAGGACTGCCTGAGCTCCCAGAGAAGGCACACAAACGGCTGAATTAGAATCTTTCAACCCAACACTAATGAGACGGCGCTGTCACATTGCCTAAGATGCAGATGCTGGAAAAACAGTGCCAGCAGCAACTCCTAGTTTAGCAGTCCAGAAAGCTGTCCAAATCAGACCCGCTGGCTGGGGCCTCCCCAGTCTGTGTTGGGGCCGGCAATCAATCCAACGTTTGAATGCGCGTGAACTCCAAGGCAGGCGTCCATTGCACCCACATTGGAACGTTGACGCGCGATCTACGTGGAAACATGGCAGAGGCTTGGCCCACTGCAGGAAGAATTTCTGGCACCGCTGGGCATGAGCTCCAACCCAAAGCTTCCAAAATCTTCGCAGAGAGCAGACTTTGCCCTGACATCAAACCTACTCGCTGGAAAGCTCGGCGCCAATTCTTCCCAGCAATAATCAATTGAATTGCATTGGAAACTACTTTCAGCCAAAGGGCCAGGGTCACCTCACCATCTTCGGCAGCGCCCTTGCAATCAAGCCACAACTCCTGCATCTTTGAGCGGAACTGACTGAAGACATACACGTCTAGGGGCTGTAACACCGCAGTCATGCCCGCCGGGATCAATATCATCCTGACTCCTTGCTCCAAGGCGTGCGAATGGACGCTTGGCTGTATGTGGCAAGCTGCCATATCAACAACCAGGAAAACAGTCCGTTCCTCCAGAATTCCTCCCAGCCGGCTGCAAAGAAGGTCGATGTATTTCTGCATGATCCTAGCATTGTTCCAAGAGCTCTCTTCCCGCCAAAGAAAAATGTTTGCAGGCAGCTCTGACTGCACAGCCCGTATTGTGCGTAGCACAAATTGGTGAGGATTTCCGAGCAATATCTGGGGCAACAAATCATTGACTGTAGGATCGTCGCAAATGGAAGCTATGTAGGTCAGAGCTCCCCTGCGCGCGCTGAGCTTGACGCTGTCCCCTGGGCGTAATGAAGTAAAAGGGCCCGTTTTCAACACTGTACCAACCAGGCCACTCAAATGGAACGCTACAGAAGCCTCGTCCATGTTGATGATCAACGGCGCCTTTGCGCTCTGGGCCAAGGCACCATTCACCCAACGGAAATAGGCAAAGGCCTCACAAATCAGCCCAGAATACGACTCCCATTTTGGGAATCCAAAAACAACTCCCAAAACTGGAGTCGCCAACGTCAATCTTTTCTTTTCCTATCCTTTGCACCAGGACGGCTACCATTTTAGGAGTCGGAAAACAACTACCAAAAGTGGAGTCACAGTCCCCATAGCTTTTGTTAGGGGCCCGAACAAATAGTGGTACGATTTTGAAACTTGCCCTGCCTTCTCCTGCATGTCCTGGGGTGACAAACTTGAAATGTTTTTCAGCACCCCCAAACGAGCTCCCCATACTTGTCGGAAACGGCGCAGCCACTTCCGTTGCTGCCGCGCAGAGCTTCGCAAGGACGCCGCAACAGAGGCTTGCACTTCCAGCGGACACTCTAAAGGCACCAGTGCAAGGGCACGTCGGACCATTTGAAGCCTGCTGGGAGCCACTCCATGCTTGCAATTTTGTTGACAAAGCCACGTGTACAGGCGTCGCTGCAGGATGAAAGTGCAGGCAGCTGTCATCACTCGCAGGCTCCTGGTCATAAGGCATCGGTCATTCATCAAATCCACAATCTGGGGAGTTGGCTCTTGCGTGTAAACCTGCTCAAACATGCAGCGCATGTCTTCCATGCGGTCATCTGCAAGGCGCAACTTGAAAGCCAAGAATTGGGCAGCCATATCCAAGTCATGGCCGCTAAAAACATAAACCATAAGTGCTGAGCTTGCCATCTTGGGGCTTAAAAAGCCTTGCTGCGCATCCTCCTTCACGCGGCGACGACGCAGCTTCCGCTGCAAACACCGGATTCGGCGGGACACCTCCGCCAAATCACCGGACTCCATGAGGAACGTGTGGGAAATCAAACGAATTAAGGGCTACTTGCAAACAACCTCTTTCACTTGCTACCTCAACGAAAAAACGTGGGAAGTTTGTTTTGCACGACACATGAGTTGTAGCCACTTCATGAACGACTTTGCCACCTATAGATATCGTGACCATCGGCTCCTGTTTGGCGTGGAGTGTCATGTCAAACTACCCTGCTGCGTGGAGACTTCCTCACTTGATCACATTCACAAAAGTTGGAGACTACTGGATTTCAATGCTGTAAAGTTCTTGAGCTTAGCATGCACAGACAGGTGAGGCCGCACGCAACGGCGCCAAAAACACTCCGCATTCCGACTCCCAAACTGGAAACCCCCTCTTGTCCATTTTCCCACCAAAGACAGGATTCTATTACCTGCAGCTGAGGCTCCGGCTGCCGCTCGTGCTTTAGGGGCGGCTTTAGCTTTTGGTGGCATGGTCTCTGCGGCTACACACCACACACTGCTAAGAGCTAGACTGCTGAAAGCTGCGTGAAAAAGAAGCAACGCCCAACACAAAACTCGAAGCCAAGTGAGAATTGTGACTAGAGGCGTCCTACTTCCCCCGGGCCCCCTGCTGTGCAACGTTGTTCAAAATGGTTAGGTGTCCAGGTTGTATCTCAGCCCATGACAAAACAAAGGACCAACCCTCAGTGCTTCACTTCGGAAAACCAACATTGCCACTTTGGGGTGTTAGAGGGGAACCTGAAGACAAACCTTGACCTAGCCATTCAATATAGTCAACCTTTGCATTCAATGGAACCGGGGAAACGTGAAACAAACATCCTGTACCTCTGAGCTTCCGACGCCTGACCCAAACAAACACTTCGTACAGCAATGTCGCGAAGAATGAATCTACTGCAGCCTTACCAAGCTGACATGTGCGCCCATGAACGTGAAGCTTCCCTGAAACACACATCTGACCTCGAGACATGAAGGGCTGCCCCTCCGAGCTGTGGACCTGGCGAGATGGCGGTTGAGCACAAAATATACGTATATATCATGAAGCTGAACACTGCTACAATGCGAATCGTTGTGCTGTGTTGGCATTTCGCGGTGCACTAAACCGTTTGACACCACACATCACGCAGGCAAAAGCGCGCAGTGTCTAGAAATACGCTTCCCCCTTCACTTGCTAGCTAGAATACTTAGCCATAACCCACCAAACTCTTCGCACAGCAAGAACACGAAGAATGAGACTACTGCAGCCTAAGCAAGCTGGCATGTGCACCGATGAACCTGAAGCCTGAAGCTTCTCTGAAACACACATCTGAGCTCGAGACATGAAGGGCTGCCCCTCCCAGCTGTGGACCTGGCGAGATGGCGGGTGAGCACAAAAGTGCCTACGTATCATACAGTTAAGTGAGTGGTTTGCAGTCTGCACTGCTACAATGCGAATCGTTGTGCATTTTGCGGCGCTTAAACATCATGCAGGCGACTTATCTTTTCCCTTTGGGCTTTCAAGTTTCTAAGTCAAGCGGTCCTTGACTTTGCGGGCTTGCAAGGGCTTCAATCCGAGCTCAGAGATCAAATCTGCTTCGGACAAAGATGCCAGCATGCGGCCATCCACCCCATTCTCCCGAAAGGCTTCAATCACATGCCCCAACTCCAGATGTATGATGTACCTGCAGACGTCATCAACAGTCCAGGCCAAACACAACATTCTCTTGGGCTCAGGTGTCTCACCCGACGATGTAGCCTCCCTTTTCGCAGGCTCAGAGCGGTGGCTCCTTGCTTGCCCTAGCTCCAACACGAAATTTGCAAAACAGGACTTGCAACCTTTGGCCACCTGGCTGGGAATGTTGACTTTGTGCTTGAATTCAAACACTTTCAGCCGCTTCACCATCATGTCGACATCGCCCTGCTTCAGCTTCCCTTTCAAGGCATGCAAATCTGCTTGCAAGGTGGTAATGAAAATAGGGTCGTCTTTCGTGTAACGCAAGTGGCCGGAAAACAAATTCTGCGGCCTTGCGATGACAAAGCCAGCGCCTTCAAACCACAATAGCTGCACCGCCCAGGAGACGATGTCCTCATTAAACCTCCAGTCATCGAGCCAAACCACTCTGGCCTTTTCCAAGCCAAGCAAAGGGAAGGCACTCTTTGGAGGGGTCACGAAAACATTGTCTTCACCAAAGACCAAGGGCAAGGGGCGAAACAAAAAGCTTTTGCCTTCATTACCTTCAAACCCTGCGTGGCACACAAGGTTGCCTTTCGAACGTCCTGCTAAAAGCGAATCCGTCACCGCCTTGCACCACTGGACTGGATTGTGCCCATTTTGGCAAAGGATGTCTCGAGCAAAGTCGGCCCATTGTCCGCCACAAGTGCACTCAGCACTGCAAGCTCCTGCCAAGATGTCCATGCGGCTCTGCGCAGCTGCTGCAACCAAGTCCTCAACCTTCTCAGTCTTCCATGACTTGGCAACAATGGCAGGAAGCTTGTCCCAGTTGGCAAAACAAAACTCAACCAACGCTCGGCCACCACTGCGCTTGGCATACGACATCAACTTTTCTCCGCACACTTCATCTGGCAGGATGTTTTCCCGGATAATGATGGGCCACAAATCCACTTCCCGGACACGCTGCTCTCCCTTGCCTTTGGCTGCACGTTTGCGCCTTTGCTCCTCACGATGCACTTCCAAATTCTTGGCGCTCACATACCCTCTACTGGCCTCAGACAAAGGTGGGTGAGTGGAAGGCCACAACTCAGGTGCGGGATCCAATTCTTCCACGGCTTTTGTGGGTGAAGGCAAGTAGCAGTAGGCAATGCAGCCAGCATACCCGTCTGTTTTTCCAGACCAATGACTGGCTAGGCCATGCGCAGCCAGCAGTTGGCGCTTCAAGGCCACGAAGCGGAAAGACTTGTCGGCTAACACTGCCACATGGTAATGAACTTCACCTGATGCGTGGCGCTCCTGAAAGACTGCCATGTGTGTGAAGGTCAGAGGCAGCTCTCTGCTTGATTGGGTGGAAGCAAGAGCTCCTAAGAAAAAGTCTTTGACTTGCGCACGGGTGTAAGTCCCAGGAGCCACCAACTTTTGTCCATCTGAATTCTCTTCCTTGTCTGTGTGAGACAACGTCACTAGGTAAGCTCTCCTCGGCTTGTTGCACTCAGCACCAAGCTCTTCACTACAGCTGGACGGTTGGCTTGCTTTCTTAGCTTCAAGAGATTCCACCACTTCTTTCAGCAAGGCGCTGAACTCATCCTTTCGAGCCTCCAGCCCATCAGGCTCCATCCCGCAAGCAACTGCAACCTTGGCTCTACAGGGGAGGCCCAAAACTCCGAAGCCAATCCAAGGAGCAGCAAACGGTACCAAAAACAGGACCCCCCACATTAGACCCAGAACCACCAGAGCAACACCAGCCCTCAGCCTGCAGCGCATTCTGCTTGCCAGCTGCCTTTGCCTTTGCTTTGGGCGGCATCACCTGCAAGCACGCCACAACAAAGCAGCGTATCACAAACCCCAGACTTCTTCCATGCGAACAGAATCGCTGATAACATGTTTGGCCCTGAAACAACAAACCCAATGGCACCCGCCCGTGCAAACGCCTGCAGCAAAAACACTTTCCGCGGTTCCCTGAGCAGTGGCTTCAGGCTGCTGTTTTCTCAACCACGCTGGACTGGGTAATCTTAACATGCAGCTTGCAAGCGAATTTCAGAGAGACACATTAGCAATCCAAACGTTTTCGCTCGGAGGACAAACAACCTGTTCCTAATTAAGCAACAAAACCACGGAAATGCACCACAACACGATTGCCAGCCTTGGAAAGCCAATCATGCGTGTCCAGCAATGACAAATTTTGCGTGGAGTAATTCAATGTCGCTACAATTGGAATTCGGAACAGATATTTCTCATATTTACATTGGCCACCAGGCGTGACACCAAACTCCAGCTGTACATTGTATTTGCCTTGAATCTTGTCCTGGTTCTCCGTCAAAAAGCTCAAATCTCGGACATCGTCTAAAATGATGCCATCGTGGATCTTCCGATTGAATTCACGCAAACCGTCAGGGAAATGCAGGAGAGGACCAACCTTGAGTTCCAACGGGCTTCGAAACAAGGAGTTGGCATATTCGGTCTTGCCAGACATAGAGGCACCCAGGAGCAACAAAACAGGATACCGCAAGGCATCCATCTCGAAAAGCTTCAGCCAAGCGGTCACCTCTGCAATTTCCGGAAACGTTTTGTAGAGTTCAGGATTGGATCTGATTCTCTTCGTGTTGCTGGCAATGAGGGCCTGAAGCTCTTGCTTTTCTTCTTCTTGCACGACAGCGTCTAAGTTGCGTTTTCGGGCTGGTACGCCATCCCTAGTCAAGTACAAGTACTCCTTGTACACCTCCGTTGTGACTTTCCGTTGCTTCCAAAGCTTCTCAGGCCATGCGCCCAAGACCTGGTAACGAAACAGCTCGTCTGTCCAGACAGGGGCATAGTTTCCGGCCACACAGAGTCCGCCACAAGACAGGCGAGCCGTGCCAATTTTGTTTGCCCAGACATAGAAAAATCCACGGTCTATGCTCATCTGCAGTTTCTTCCTGCACAAACCATCGCCACACAAGTCCGTTGGCGAGACATTTGGTTTAAGCCTTTCGAAAACAAAAGCAGAAACGGTTCTATCAACTTCGGACTTGAACTGGAGCATGACATGGGCATGGAATTTGCCTGACGCACAAGTCTCCAATGTCGTGCACCAATGGCGCACTTTCCAAGGCTGGAGGTGATTGAGAACAAAGACATTCAAGGCAAGCCATTGGGCCGGATCAGCAAACCCATTGTAAGTAAGAAGGACTGATGTGCCTCGTACCCGATACTCATTGCGCTGCGCAGGAGCTGGAACCATTGACAAAGGATGCTCCGCACTTCTGCTGGCAGCAGAGCCATCACGAGCTTTTTTCTTCGCAAGCTCCCAAGAGGCTCTAGCTTCATTCAATTGCTGTTGGTGCCGCACATCTCCGCCACGATCTGGATGAGTCTTCAATACAAGCTT